ATCCATCAGGTTTGTTACAACCTATCAAGATTCCTGAATGGAAATGGGAGCGTATTACTATGGATTTTGTTACTGGTCTACCTATGACTCCTTCGAAAAAGAACTCAATTTGGGTGATTGTTGACAGACTTACAAAGTCAGCTCACTTCATTCTTGTACGGATAAATTATACGTTGGACAAGTTGGCGAGGTTGTATATTTCAGAGATTGTCAGATTGCATGGTGTTCCGTTATCTATCATTTCAGATCGAGATCCGAGATTTACTTCGAGATTTTAGAAGGCGCTACATACGGCCTTGGGAACAAGATTGGATTATAGTACATCCTTTCATCCATCGGGGTTGCGTAATCGATTTTCATGGTAGTTGGGAGAACTTTTTACCGTTGGCTGAATTTGCTTACAATAATATTTATCAGACCAGCATTCGTATGGAACCCTATTAAGCACTCTATGGGCGTAAATTTCGCACTCCGATCTGTTGGACTGAGTTGCGTGATAGGAAAATGTTGGGACCTGAGTTAGTGCGAGAGACGGAGGACACAATCAGATTAATCCGTGACCGTCTGAAAGAGGCATTTGATAGGCAGAAATCTTACGCAGATCAAAGGAGGAAGGATATACAGTTTGAGGTTGGAGATCAGGTCTTTTTGAAAGTTTCACCCTGGAAGAAAGTATTGAGATTCGGGCATAAGGGTAAATTGAGTCCAAGATTTATTGGACCATTTCGTATCTTGAAGAGGGTAGGACCTGTTGCATATCAGCTTGAGTTGCCTTCTGATCTAAGTCGTATTCATGATGTCTTTCATGTATCAATGTTAAAGATACCGTCCAGATCCAGGTCACATTATTCAGGTTGAAGAAGTATAGCTGAGACCTGATTTGTCATATGAAGAGGAGCCCATTCAGATCTTAGAGAAAGATGAACGAGTTCTTCGGAATAGGCGAATTCCAATGTTCAAAGTTCAATGGAGTAATCGAGGCCCCTCAGAAGCTACTTGGGAGACATTGGAGTCAATGGAGGCTCAATTTCCTCAACTATTCTCATAAGGTAAATTTCGAGAACGAAATTTCTTGTAGAGGGGGAGAATTATAACAACCCGAATATTTACAAAATAATATTAATTGAAATTGGAGGTAAATTGTGAAAATGGGTGAAATTAAGTGACTAAAGAAAAATTTATGAAAACTTGTATGCCATTTTTGAAGTAAAGGAAATTCAGGGACCAAGCCCTGAATTTCCCCTAAAACTGTCGGCAGAATTGGTGTTATAAGCGTGTTTTCTGGTTTTAAACCAGAAAACACAAATGATAATTTCTTAAGTTTTCCTCCTCCCGTACCCTTACTTCCAAGCCCGATTCCGACGTCGTTCGACCTCCAATTGAAAAACTGAAACCACCGTCGTGTTCATCTTCGACCCGTTAACAAAACCCAGTAAATCAATTGAAGCGAAACGCTGCCAAACGTCGGGAATTTCAAGTCAAAGCATCGACGTTTTTTTAGCTCTATCGCCGGGAAAAATCTCAAATTCATTGACGTTCGTTGCTCTGTTTACGACACCTCCTGCACCATCGTGTTCCTTGTGTCGTTTCGAGTTCGCCGGTGCCAACCTTATTCGCCGTCGACGGCGGCGCGTGAGGAGGTGGAGCAGTCAAAGATTCGGCCGAGTTGAAATTGAGCTCTTCGCCGTTCAAAAATTTGAACCGATCGTTGTAAGTATCTCGAAATCGCTCAAAATAATTTTTAGAAATTTTTTCGGGATTTTTAGGGCCCCGGAGGAGGCCTCACGCGCCACCGCAGGGAGAGTGGACGCTGCTGGAAACCAGTTTGACCGGTTTTCAACCGGTTTCGACCGGTTTTGACCGGTCTGAACCGGTTTGACCGGTCTGACCCGACCCGACCTGACCCGACCGTTGACCCGACCCGACCGTTGATCGTTGACCGTTGACTTCCTTTGACCAAAACTTAAAATGGCTTTGACCGACCATTAAATGACCGTTAATCTTTTCCGAGTATACCTATTCTGATAGTTTTCGACGCGCCGAATCTGTTTCCGTTATCCGTTTCGCCAAATTCTAACCCGAAGGCCTCCAAATCAACGGTCAACGTGGTTGACTTTGACTTTGACCAAGAATTTGAATTTTCGAAAAGTAATACTTTATGTTTTTTGACGTCTTGATTCCGATTCCGTAATCCGTTTGGCTAAATTCAGACTCGAAATACCCCAAATTGATAGTCAAACCCGAAAAATGCTTATATACTTAAGAAGTCTAGCTTTGAACAATTAAGTAAGATTTGGGACTGATAGATTATTATTGTTTGAAGGTACAAGAGACTCTCTGGATCGTTCGACAACTCGACCCAACTCTTTTAGATCAGTTAAACCACGTGTGCCAGTATTCACCCGTAAGACCCGTAATTTTATGATTTTATAGATCTATTTATGTTACCCATAAATAATATAGTGTTATTATAAAATAGGTTCGAAAATGTAGCAGAGCGTGGTGAAACCAACAATCAGTAAATCTACTATTTGAATCTATTATCGAGGTGTGTTCCCTGTTTACTACATATTTTATATGTTTTGAAATATGGTACACTGAAATCTATGGTTTATTGTTTATTGATACACCGATTTACTGGTGATGGTTTATGGACTATGATGACTGGTTTATGATTATTGATTTTGGATTGAATTGAATTACGATAGTATAACTCTGATCAAGCTAATAAACGGGCCTAATGTGACTCTTGAGGGCCCTAAGATGCATTAGGTTGGCTTTCCTTGCTGTGTGTTTAGGATAAGCTATATGGACTTGGACTTGTGGGCCTAAGGATACAAGCTCTAAAGCTTATCCTTAGGTTGACTTTCTTTTTGCTGTGTGCTTAAAGTAAGCTATATGGAAAATAGTTTTGGAAACTACTGATGGTGTACAAGAAAAGGGTTTAAACTATAATTTTTAAAAGTTAAACTCTTTTATGAATTTATGAGATTTGCTGGACTATGATTTGTTAAATGTACCTATTGTGATTTTAAGGTAATATTGGGACACACTGAGCCTAGCTCACCTTTCGAAAATGTTTTCCCCTTTTCAGATACTGTTGGTTAGATACCTCGGTTCGAGCACTTGGAGGATCAACATATCTCTTGAAGTATATTTGATTGTAATGTTTTTATCCTTCTAGTTGACTTTATTTTGGTGACATGGACCTTATTTTAAAGTATTGGATTTTATAGTGATTACACTTTTGCTATTAATATTCGGGTTATCGTGATTTTGATTTTTAAGACATGTTTTAAATTAATTACTTATTGGTATTATATATATAAGTTGGGTTTTGATAGTATAATATCATATCATTTATAATGTGATTTTACATTGATTGAATAACAGTTTTCAGAAAATGTCTTTAAGAATAATAATGTGATCCACTAGACTTAATCGAAACGCATAGGCCGGGTGGGGTTACATTGAAATTTACAAATTTGATTTTAATTTGATTTATGATCCCCAACAAAACAACAACATATGAATTTTACAATATTCAAAAGCACTAAAATATATTAAATTAAAATTACCCAGCCTTTAGAAAGATAAAGAATATTCGATTATTTAAAAATATCGAAACCATGTCTTAAATGAGTTATAATAACCTTTTATCGATAAATTTAAATAGCCGAATATTTTTTTTCTTCCATTCCCAAATTTTAGAGTGAGGTGTCACTAATGGGATACAATTCTAATTTAAAATCGTCAAAAGCAGATATCTAATAAGTTAAGACAACACACTTAAAACAATTTTAAATTAAAAGGGTATTACCCTTAATCCAATTATTATATAATGTCGAGTTATGCACATGAGGATATCATACATATTATGCAAAATGATGTTAATGCAAAAATTAATTAAACAAATATTATGATTAAAATATCAGGCAATGTTATTTTAATACCAACAATTATATACAACATATGAATTTTACAATATTCAAAAGCACTAAAATAGATTAAATTAAAATTACCCAACCTTTAGAAAGATAAAGAATATTCGATTATTTAAAAATATCGAAACCATGTCTTAAATGAGTTATAATAACCTTTTATCGATAAATTTAAATAGCCGAATATTTTTTTTTCTTCCATTCCCAAATTTTAGAGTGAGGTGTCACTAATGGGATACAATTCTAATTTAAAATCGTCAAAAGCGGATATCTAATAAGTTAAGACAACACACTTAAAATAATTTTAAATTAAAAGGGTATTACCCTTAATCCAATTATTATATAATGTCGAGTTATGCACATGAGGATATCATACATATTATGCAAAATGATGTTAATGCAAAAATTAATTAAACAAATATTATGATTAAAATATCAGGCAATGTTATTTTAATACCAACAATTATATACATATTTTATTACCACACATTATACTCTATATATATATATTAATATGTAATACACCAATACGACTAAAATAAATAAAAGGAAACATAACACTTAAAAATACAAAGTTAAGAAAATAAGTAAACTATTTAAGCTAGGTACTAAATGATAAATAATAAAAATTTACCATCTTAACTGCAAAAATAATAGCAATTGAAGTGAAAAACAAACATTACACCATTTCAATTACTAAAACTAAAATAAAAATATGATTAATATAAGGGACTAAAAATATAATAAACCCAAACATACCCACAACCAAAATGTAACTTGCAAAAACCTAAAAGTCTAATATCTAAACAACAGAAATTAAATAAATAAACATTTTAGGATGAAATTTAAATGCGCATAATGTATAAAGACTGAATTAAAAATCTAAAAGACTCGATTTGAGGACTAAAACGTATAATTCTAAAACTGATGGATTTCAAGCGCAGTTACCCCACTCTCAAAACACGGGTTGACTAACCTACCAAATCGCAATCGTTTTAGTGAAATAATTATATAATATATTGGGTAAAATGAAAACTCTAACTCATTTGTTAAACCTAACATCTCCCCAAAGCCGTTCTCTCTACCCCTTTCCCTTCTCTTCTTCATCTTCCAAACGACGCTGCTCACTCCCAAAAGACCCCAACCAACAATCTCCGCTGGCCTCAACAATCCAAATCGACACCCACTCATTATACTTTCAACCGAGACCCCCTCACGCCGCTCATCTTCGACCCCTCTTCTCTTTTCTCGTGACCACCGATCTCCAAAGGCCACAACGCTGTCAGTCGAGATCCCATAGGCTCTAACCCTAATGCTCCTCAGTTGTTTCTTTCTTTGAAGAGAAGATGGAGACCATGGCCACCAATGACAAAGGCTTCGGTTTGGGTTCTCCGATGAAGACCCAACACACAAAGGACGAAGATCGAAGGCTCTCTTTGGTGCCAGGGCCCCCACGAACCAGGTTTTTTACTCTGGTGACTCGCTGTCTTCTCTCTTTCCCAAAGATGGTCTTTAGACTCTCTAACGCCGGCGACGAAACCAAATAAAAAGGTACTTCTAACCGTCTCCTCTTCTTTTATTTTTATTTCAAAACTTTAAAATAAAAACTAACCCTAATACTATTATGCAAGGTCTCTCGAACAAATCTCCACGCTTCGGTCTCAAGCCACAGTGGTTCAAACACGCTCTCGGTAAGCCTCTAACCCTTATCCTCGTCCAAAACAAAATACCACACACACGAATAGTTACTAAAAAATAAACAAAATAAGATGAAATACCTCCTCTTTAATGTATTCTGTTTTTGGTTGTTTTTGCTTAAGAGAATACTACTGCCCTTTTTGTGAAAATTGATTTTCGATTGGGAGAGTAAAATAAAACAAAACTTGCTTCTATTCTTTTCGGAAAAGAGGGCTGAATCCCTTTTACACACTGTTTTTTTCCTTTCTTACAACGAATCCCCCGTTGTTAATGAAATTCCCCGTTCGAAGCCTCCCCTTTTTGGTGAATTTTTTAGTTGCTTTCTGGTTGTGGTCTGCCCTCTCTATGTGCTCTATTTTTTCATGACCAAAATCCCCCGTTCGTTGAACTCCCCCCTTTTTTCTGATCTCTTTTCTGCCTCGGATTTATTTCTTCTTCTTCACCGAATCTCCTTGTCATCTGGCATGTTAATTTCCTTATGTTTGGTAGTATAATGACAGGTTTAGGTGAAAACATCCCCTAATTTTCGTGGTTAGGTATTTTCTTGACTTTGGTTTGATTTTGCTGACTTTACTTCTGTTTTGCTGTTGGGTGCAGATTTGTCAATGGGTTTGCTGAATTCTGGGATTCATCTGTTCCAATCCTGTTGTAATTGTTATCATTTTTTTTCTTTTTCGGGCCTGTAAACATAAAACCTTCATTTAGTGAATTAAATTATCATAACATATATATATATATGATCACAAACATAACTACATAGATAATTAAACACAGTACATAATTAAACACACATATGATAATATAAATAGATAAGCACATGCACAACTTGGTAATAATAACTAATAAGTAATATATATAAAATGGAATAAAAATTCGACTGAGAGCCCTTGACAAAACGAGTATCTACAGCGATCCCTCTTTGCTCATTGTCGTACAACGAGAAAAGAGCAAAGACCCAATGATGGTCGAGTTTGTCAGGCCGTGAGGATTTCAAGAGATTAAACCACTCCATTATAGCTCCCTAATAAGCGAGACTTGAAAATTTTTCAGAAAATATGTATATTTCCTATTCTTTCAGAAAGTATAAGACTCGAACAATATTTGACAAACATGTATGTTCCCTATTCTTTCAGGGATTATAGAACTCGAACAATCTTTTGTCAACGGGTTTGCTCCCTATTGCTTTAAGGAGTATAGAACTCGAATAATCTTCTAAAAATGAGTTCGCTCCCTATTGCTTTAAGGAGTATGGAACTCGAACAATCTTCTGAAAACGGGTTCCCTCGCTATTGCTTCAGGAGTTTCAGGGAGTATAGAAATCGAACAATCTTCTGCAAATAGTTTCGCTCCCTATTGCTTCAGGGAGTATAGAACTCAAATAATCTTCTGCAAATGGGTTCACTTCCTCTTGCTTCAGGGAGTATAGAACTCGAATAATCTTCTGCTAACATGTTCGCTTCCTCTCACTTCAGGGAGTATAGAACTCGAATAATCTTCTGCCAACAGGTTCACTCCCTATCACTTCGAGTATAGAACTCAAACAATCTTCTTAAAATGAATCTGCTTCACCATTCCTTCAGGGGAGATCACACTCGATATTGATTTGTTTCACTATTCTTTCGTGAAGGCTCAAGATTGATTTGCTTCGAGGGTCGAACCTGAAAATCAAACGTTACCAATTGTTATTGTATGCTTGAAGATTTGGAAAACATTATACTCAAAAAATTTAGAATTAAGAGAATCTTTGAAAACCTATTTCTCTTGCGGAAGCTTGTCTCGCAGCCACTAAATATGAGAATCTACCTTGACTCGAATGCCATTTGAATCTCTCCATTCCTGGTACTTTGAATTGGTTAATGAATCGTTTGATTTGCCCCAATCTCACGTGCCCATTTCCTTTTAATCAATTGATCAACTTCTTTGTACCTGAGAATCTTTACTTTTTCTTCTACATATGATGGTCCCCACTTCAAAATAATGCTCTTCCTTTCAATCTTGTCGGGTTTTTGACATCATGAATCTTCTTTTTTTTACTTGAAGATCTGTCAAAACCACGTGTTTAAATGCAAATACAAATAAATGTAATGCATTTTCTTTTATGCAAATAATATTCTTATGAATGCATAAATGTTGATTCAATCTTCATTTGGCTCCAGAGTGGCAAACTTGATCTTCTTCCGCTTGATCACTTCTTCCCAGGGTTTACTCAAATATCAATTAAGCAACTTATAATTTCAATCTTGCATTCTTCTAAAGATATGCTCGATCATCTTGTAGTCTTTGCTTTCTGTCTTCATTTCGGAGAAAGTGTTTTCTCTCTCAACTTCTTGCTACGGTCAAAAATAGGACTTAGTTGCCCCATTTTTGGAGACTATGTATATGATTATGTCAAACTATAAAAAGATCAAAGGGAGAGTTGCGTCTATTCTAATTTTATTATACCATGTCGAGAGGTTTAACAGCAACCCGTCATTCCATCTTAGTTGGTTCCACTAGTCTCTTGCTGTTAAAATTCCATCGCCCCTTCTGTGGAAAGAAATCTTCATCATTTCTCATTTTTAACCTTGGGGTTGTAGAAGACAATATTCATCTTGGGTAATGCAACATTGATTCAGCACCATATTTACTGGTTCGTAAAATATTTGACAACACATTCATCTTCTCCTGTAGCTTCTGTCCATATCTTTCAACCAGAGAAGCTCTTTGCATAACGTTCAAAGTTTTTGTATGATATTACAAAGATACCAAAACTCAGTGGAAATTAAAGTGAGATGTTTTGGCTAGCCCATATTAATGTCTATGAAATCACCAGAATAATGCAACTATATGATGGACAAAATGATCACATATGGTAAACTCCACTGTCATTGTTTCACCATTCACACTCTTCATACATTTCTATCCCATTGAAACTATTTGTCCAATTCAATGATCTTTCCATAGTATAACATGGGCTTCCAAAAATGCTTCACATTAATGCTTCTAGCTGAAACAGGCCTTCAAAATGCCCCAAAATTTCAAGTTGTAAGACTCACTCTCAATGTCTTCTTGGTCTGAATCTTGTTATCTCAACATGATGTAGGTTTAGTCATGCCCCAATGTGGGTATTCATGGCTCCCTCGTGCCAAAATCTTTTAACCTTGAATACTCATATTCTAGTATCACTACCCGGTAATGTTGTCAAATAGTTTAAGGGATTCTCTTCATATGGTCATAAACACTTAAAAAGTGATCAATCATTCTAACAGAATGTCTTGCATTTGATATGAGCTGGGATATATGTCATTTTCAGATGAAGGCAATCATCTTATTCTTGACTGGTTACCGATAACGTCACGACAAAGTGTTACTAGTTCTATCTTCCAGCCATTATGATCTCTTGGAACATCTGCTTTCAAGATTGGGAAATGTTTCATTACTCTAGCATCGCCTATTCTTTTCTCCATGAAACAGCTTCTAAGATCTCCATCATTCAAGAAATCAACTTGTTTCTTTACCCCGATCCAAATATCTCAAAGTGACATCTTTGATGGGGATCAGATAATTATGAATTTAGTTCACAAATCATTTGTAACATCCCAAACTATGGGTTAGTGATTAAATTGTAAAGTTTCAGAATTTGGTGATTAAAGTAGAAGAATGGATAAGTTCAATGATTTATCTGGAAATAAATCATAAAAGTGTTAGTAATTATTAAAGGATTTTAAGGGCAAAGTGGTCATTTGACTTGGAAATGATAAGATAATGATATATATGGGATAAGCTTGAGAGATTTCTCCAAAAACTCTCTTTTCTTCTTCTTCTTCTTCCTCTCCTCCCGTATCTCCAAGCTCAAAGGTGACTCTTCTACTTAGTTAATTTCTAGTTAAATTTAAGATTTGGTTTTGATCATTAGATGATAACTAAGCTAAAGGAAAGCTTAAGTTATCTTAAAATCAAAAGATAAAGGAATTAGAGAAGATTAAAGATTTGGAGTTCTTGAGTGAAATCTTGAAATAGAGTTTCTAATAAGAATTAAAAGTTGGATTTGACTTGTCATCAATCTAAGTAAGAGATATGAAGTAATAGAATTGGATTTGAAACATGTTGCAAAATTGATGTAATTATTTAATTACATATAAAGAATGGGACTTTGAGGTTTAAGATGAAATAAATGAGTATATATTGGTTTAAGTATGTGTACTAGAGTTAAGAATGAAAAAGGGGATTAAACATGAAGGATTTAATCCAAAATGAAGAATTTTCGGGTTCAAAAGAGGATTTGGGTAGAGTGCATCGATGCATATTCATAGTGCATCGATGCATCAAGGTTAAAACCCATAAATTGTTTGAATGTGTATCGATGCATTAGTAGTGCATCGATGCACTCTTTTAATAATGAAACATCGAATGCAATTGGTGCATCGATGTATAAGGAGTGCATCGATGCATCCCAGCAATAATACTACATCGAATACCTTTTATGCACCGATGCATCAGTAGTGCATCGATGCATATCTTCATTAAAAGATGAAATTGACTTTTCTCTTAGTCTAAAGAGTGAACCATTAGAGTATATTAGTTATAATACTGATATAAATCCATGTGTGATTATGTAGATACTAAAAGTAAGCTTATTCCGGAACGATTAAAGGATTAGAATCGAATCGAATCAAAGCAAAGCTAAGGTGAGTGCATACTAGATGTATATTATAATGGAATAAGACTTGTGATAAGTCTAATCCCTATGTTGATTTTTATAATACAATAGTTGTGAACATGCATACATGATAATTATTGTGATACATGCATAAGACATATATATGTTCATGTGATATGATATGTGATATGACATGTGATATGAGAACATGATATGAAGTGATATGAGATACATGATCACAAGAGAAATGATATGAGTACATGAACATATGAAAAATAAAAATAATGCCCATAGTATACGATATGAGAACTATAGGTATAATTGGCATGCCAAGAGTCGAGGGTATAATAGTCCTTCGGGATGTAGTGGTCCTACGAGACATAGATAATAGTCCTACGGGACGAATACTGAACTAAGATTCGGTGCCCCATGAGGGAATTGATACGAGCTGTGGTGACAGCATTAGTGCACAACCTCAATGTACTCACATACCTCTATTCTCAATAATATACATGGGCAATTGAAATACCGATTTACAGTGAAAGTGATACAAGAAGGTAAGTTTCGTATGTGTATTATATGATTATATATGTTATCGTGTGATAGATACATGCATATTGAAATGTCATGATCCAATGGTAAGTATGAACATTCATAAGTTTATTGTTGCATATTCATTTATTGCCTCACTAAGTCTATGACTTAGCGTGTAAGTGATTTACACGTAGGTACCAAGAATCAGGAAGAGTGGAAATAGAAGTAGCACAGACAACAATACTACTAAGAGATCAGATCAGAAGTAATTGACAAAGTATGTACTTGGTTATGTATAGAGTGTTGGCATGTAATAAGTGTTAATTACAAATACTCTGATCGATTTTGTATTTTATGGTCTTATGTAAATTAATGTATTTCGTTTTAATGAAAAGTTTTAAAAATTCCCGGGATTTTCTATAAGAGTCAAAGTTTGAAAAGTCAATGTGACACCTCAGACTTGTATTCGGGTCGGATATGAGTTAAGAGCGTTACATTTAATGGTATCAGAGCTACAGTTTAGCCGATTCTAGGCTTAAAT